AGAGAGAGAGAGAGAGAGAGAGAGAGAGAGAGAGAGAGAGACAGAGAGAGAGAGAGAGAGAGGGAGAGAGAGAGAGAGAGAGAGATGAGAGAGAGAAGAGAGAGAGAGAGAGAGAAGACAGAGAGAGAGAGGGAGAAAGAGAGGGAGAGACAGAGGAGTAGGGAGAGACAGAGAGAGAGAGAGAGAGAGAGAGAGAGAGAGAGACAGAGAGAGGGAGAGAGAGAGAGAGAGAGAGAGAGAGAGAGAGCACAGGAGAGAGAGAGAGAGAGGAGAGAAGAGAGAGACAGGAGAGGGAGAATGTGAGAGAGAGATAGAGAGAGAGAAGAGAGAGAAAGAAAGAGAGTGTTCAAGTAAGAGAGAGAGTGAGTGTGCATGTGAGAGAGATAGAGAGAAAAAGAGAGAGAAAGACAGAAACAGAGGGGGAGGGAGAGTGAGGGAGAGGGTGTGCATGCGGGAGAGACGGAGAGAGACAGAGAGAGAGAGAAAGAGAGTGCATGTGGTAGAGAAAAAGAGAGAGAGAGAGACAGAGAGAGAGAGAGAGAGAAAGAGAGAGAGAGAGAGAGTGTGCATGTGGGAAAGACAGAGAGAAAGAGAGAGAGTGCATGTGGCATAGATGGAAAGAGAGAGAGGGGGAGAGAGAGAGAGAGAGAGAGAGAGAGACAGAGAGAGAGAATGTTCCTGTAAGAGAGAAAGAAAGAGAGAGAGAGAGAGAGTGTGTGTGCGTTTTGCTGAAAAATGGAAATATATCTTTAAGTGTTTTGTCGCAGAGTTTTGGAGCAGGTGAGAGGGTCAGACGAGGTGAGGACACATGTGGAGAACAGATGGGACAGAGAGAGAGAAAGAGAGAGAGGAGAGCGAGAAAAAAGAAGGGGAGAGAGAGAAAGAAAGAAAGGAGAACGAGGTTTAGAGAGAGATAAAGAGAGAGAACAGGGTTAGAAAGGGAAATAAATAAAGAGGAGAGAGAACATAGAGGAGGAAGGAGGGATTGAGAGAGGGTGACAGAAAGAGAGAAGACTTGGAGAAGGAGAGAGAGAGTGAGAGGAAGAGAGGCAGAGAGAGAGAGAGACAGAGAGAGAGAGAGAGAGAGAGAGAGAGAGAGAGACAGAGAGAGAGAGAGAGAGAGAGACAGAGAAGAGAGAGAAGAGAGAGAGAGAGACAGAGAGAGGGAGAGACAGAGAGAGAGAGAGAGGAGAGAGAGAGAGAGAGGAGAGAGACAGAGGACAGAGAGAGACAGAGAGAGGAGAGAGAGAAGAGAGAGAAGAGAGAGAGAGGGAGAGAGAGAGAGAGAGAGAGAGGAGAGAGAGAGAGACGAGAGAGAGAGACAGAGAGAGAGAGAGAGAGAGAGGGAGGAGAGAGAGAGAGAGAGAGAGAGAGACAGAGAGAGAGAGAGAGAGAGAGAGAGGGAGGAGAGAAGAGAGAGAGAGAGAGAGAGAGAGAGAGAGAGAGAGAGAACAGAGGAGGAGAGAGAGAGAGAGAGAGAGAGAGAGAAGAGGAGAGAGAGAGAGAAAATAGAGGGAGGAGAGACAGAGAGAGAGAGAGAGAGAGAAGAGAGAGACAGAGAGAGAGAGAGAGAAGGAAGAGAGAAGAGAGAGAAGAGAGAGAAGCAGAGAGAGAGAGAAATCCAAAGAAATCCAGAGAAATCCGTCGACAGAGGAGGAGGAGTGAAGAGAAGAGAAAGCTGGGAAATTGGGGAAACAGAAAAGAGAGAGAGAGAGAGAGGACAGGAAGAAGAGAAGGAGAAAAAAAAGAGAAGGAGCGATTGAGGGAGGAGAGAGAGAGAGAGAGAGAGAGGGAGAGAGAGGGGACATCGAGGACAGAGGGACAGATGTGCCCGCTGCTCTTCAAAATGTATTCCATTGTTTTTCATTAAATTGGATTAAAGGAGGAATTCAAACTTCTCCATCTGCAAAACCCCGTCAACAAAACCCAAGACGAGTCCGAGCGCCGAGGCTGCGGGCAAACGGCGAACAAAAGCTGCACTCTGTAACTTTTCTGGGGTGTGATTCGTTCATTTGTTTTTCAAAATAAAAGCAAAAATAAGAAAATGAAAAAACAACTCATTTCTTCGTTATTTGTCTCCAAAACCAAAATGAAAAAAAACAGATAATGATTCATTTTTTTCATTTACGTGATTTAAACTGTGATGCCTGGACTGAACCAGGACCTAAACCAGACTAAACCAGACTAAAGCAGACTAAACCAGACTAAAACAGGACTGACCAGGACTGAACCAGACTTGACAGGACTAAACAGGAACCAGGACTGAACAGGACTAAACCGGACTAAACCAGGACTGAACCAGGACTGAACCAGGACGAACCAGGACTAAAACAGACCTAAACCAGGAGGACTTAAACAGGACTAAACCAGACTTGAACCAGGGACTGAACTAGGACTAAAACAGGACTAAATCAGAACTAAACCAGGACTAAAACATGACTAAAGCAGAACTAAAACATGACTAAACCAGACTAAACCAGAGACTGAACCAGGGACTGAAAACTAAACCGGACTTAAACAGGACTGAACCAGACTAAACCAGGACTGAACCAGGACTGAACTAGGACTAAAACAGGACTAAATCAGAACTAAACCAGGACTAAAACATGACTAAAGCAGAACTAAACAGGACTGAACCAGGACTAAACCAGGACTGAACCAGGACTAAACCAGACTGAACCAGGACGAACCAGGACTAACCAGGACTTGAACCAGGACTAAACAGGACTGAACCAGGACTAAACCAGGGACTAAACCAGACTGAACCAGGAAAACAGGACTAAACCAGAAACCAGACTAAAACAAGAGGACTGAACCAGGACTAACCAGACTAACCAGGAACAGGACCAGGACTGAACAGACAGTGCACCTGCGTAGACTCTGGGGTGATCAGGACTGAGACTGGGACCAGACCAAGACACGATCAGGAATAGACTAGGACTGAGACCGGGACTGAGACCATGACCAGTCCAGGACTGAGACCAGCACTGAGATCAGGACCAGAATGAGACCAGGACCAGACCCGAACCAGACCGGGACTGAGACTGGAACTGAGACCAGACCAGGACTGAGACCAAGACAGACCAGGACTGAGACCGGGACTGAGATCGGGACCCGACCAGAACCAGACCGGGACTGAGACCAGGATCTGGTTTAGTCCTAGTACAGTTCTGGTTTAGACCTGGTGTAGTCCTGTTTTAGTCCTGGGATCAGTTTTGGTTAAGTCCTGGTATCAGTCCTGGTCTGGGCCCGATCAGGTCCTGGTTTCAGTCCTGATCGCCTGACAGTCTACACGACGCACTTCTGGGCCCATTCCCCTGGTTCATGTCTGGTTTAGTCCTAGTTCAGTCCCTGGTTTAGTCCTGGTTCAGTACTGGTTCAGTCCTGGTTTAGTCTAGTTCAGTCCTGGTTAGTCCTGGTTTAGTCCTGGTTCAGTCCTGGTTTCCTGGTTTAGTCCTGGTTCATTTCCTGGTTCAGTCCTGGTCAGTCCTGGTTTAGTCCTGGTTCAGTCCTGGTTCAGTCCTGGTTTAGTCCTGGTTGGTTTAGTCCTGGTTTTCAGTCCTGGTTCAGTCCTCAGTTTAGTCCTGTTAGTTCTGGTTTAGTCCTGGTTTAGTCCTGGTTCAGTCTGGTTTAGTCCTAGTTTCAGTCCTGGTTCAGTCCTTGTTTAGTCCTGGTTCAGTCCTGGTTCAGTCCTGGTTTAGTCCTGGTTCAGTTCTGGTTTAGTCCTGGTTCAGTCCTGGTTTTAGTCCTGGTTTAGTCCTGGTTTAGTCCTGGTTTAGTCTGGTTCAGTCCTGGTTCAGTCTAGTTCAGTCCTGGTTTAGTCCTGTTTAGTCCTGGTTTTCATCTGTTAGTCCTGGTTTAGTCATATTTTAGTCCTGGTTTAGTCCTGGTTCAGTCCTGGTTTAGTCAGTCCTGGTTCAGTCCTGGTTTAGTCCTGGTTCAGTCCTGGTTCAGTCCTGGTTTAGTCCTGGTTCAGTCCTGGTTTAGTCCTTTCAGTCCTGGTTTAGTCCTGGTTAGTCCTGGTTTAGTCCTGGTTAGTCCTGGTTAGTCTGGTTTAGTCCTGGTTTAGTCCTGGTTCAGTCCTGGTTCAGTCTAGTTCAGTCCTGGTTCTGTTTAGTCCTGGTTTAGTCTGGTTTTAGTCCTGTTTAGTTTTAGTCCTGGTTTAGTCCTGGTTCAGTCCTGGTTCAGTTCCTGGTTCAGGTTTTTCAGTCCTGGTTCAGTTTCAGTCCTGGTTCAGTCCTGGTTTAGTCCTGGTTAGTCCTGGTTCAGTCCTGGTTTAGTCCTGGTTTAGTCCTGGTTTAGTCGGTTCAGTCCTGGTTTAGTCCTGGTTTAGTCCTGGTTCAGTCCTGGTTTAGTCCTGGTTGGTTCAGTTTTAGTCCTGGTTCAGTCCTGGTTCAGTCCAGCATCGTTTAAGTCACGTAAACGGGAAACAGTCATTATCTGTTTTTTTCCATTTTTCATTTAAACACAAATTCAAAAACTGAAAAAAACAAATCTTTATCATTTTTTTTTCATTTTGATTTTAAAGACAAATAATTAAGATTTTTTATTTTTATTTTTATTTTTTCTTATTTTTGATTTTATTTTGAAAAACAAATGAACGAACAGATTATTAAACTTACCCATCTTGCATTTATTAAAGACCAGCTGTTTTTGTTTTGTTTCCATTCTCACTGTGAGGGGGATTGCCTCATCACAGATCTGACCTGTAACTTACCTCGTGGTCGGTGGTTACTGCTTGTTTCCATGGAGACGCAGCCCACATGTTGTTTTCACATATTGTTTCGTGAATTTTTTTGTCTCTCGTGTGTGTGTTCTCCCATAGAAACTGGTGTGTATTTTTTTTTTTTTTTGTATTTAAAGGATGAGTTCATGAGTTTGTCTCCGTGTTTTTCCTCACGTAGAAACCGGTGTGTTTTTTTTTTTATTTTTTATTATTATTATTTATTGTATTTAAAGGATGAGTTCATGAGTTTGTCTCCGTGTTTTTCCTCTCGTAGAAACTGGTGTGCGTTCGTGGTTCCTCGCACCGTGAGCTGTGTGGTGGAGGACGGAGTGGAGACGTACGTGAAGCCCGACTACCAGCCCTGCTCCTGGGGCTCGGGACAGTGCAGCCGCGTGGTCTC